TGTTTTTATGTCAAAGAAGTTTGAAAATATGAAGTGCAACTATGAGATATATGATTGAGAACCTTTGAGCTATCGTACGCTGTTTCGAAGCTTGGAGAGCTAAGCTTTAAGACTCTTGCCATCCAATAACCGTTCTCACAGATCATTGAAATCTTGAATAATTCATGACCACAAAGAAGCTATCTTGTTGCCAGGTTCTTTGAAACGAGTCTTAATAACGATTCGATTTCGTCATAGGTTCAGACCAGGAAAAGATAATACTAAATCAGGCTCACTTATACGACACTCTCAAGATCTTCCTGAAAACGACTCTCATCCTCGGACTCGGCACCAAAAGCAAACTCTCGGACCAGAAAATTTCGCGACTACTTGACAAGACTATCAATGTGAAACCGACCAATGGTTCAAAAATCTTGTCGCCAAATTGACTAAGCCGGAAAGAATACCACATTCAAAAGAAATTCCACTTTCTGAATGCGAGCTCCGTGGTGGCCGACTTTAATGTCGTGATATAATCTACGTATTAGATAACGAACTGAGCCCCACGCTCATTCTGATGGCTCACGATATCTGTAAGAGAGGTCATCCAGGAAAAATGCAGCATATCAAAAAGTCTCTAACCATTATTGGTGGCTTAACCTCTCAAAGCAAACTGATCAATTCGAAGAAAACTATCACAACTGCCTCCGAAATAAAGTCTCTCGGCACAAGCAGCAAGTAGCTCTAAAGCCCCTTCCCCTCTAATTATAGCGCTGGCATGACATCTAAGTAGACTTTTTCGGTCCTTTTGCAGAATCTAATAATTACAATTGCATCATGATTGTACAAGCTCGACTCACCAAAGAATGACATTACTCACCTTGCAATACAAAGATGAATGCGAAGGGCTTGGCTAGACTTTTTGTCCTTGATATTCGGCGACTCCATGGACTATATGATTCTATAGTTTCCGATTGAGGGCCACTCTCTGTGGCAGAACCTTGGAAAGCGGTATGTAAGTATTTGTAGATTAACTTGTCACTCTCTACAGCTTACCATCCTGAGATAGATGGCCAGACAGAAAATGCCAAGGCATTTACGGAACAATAACTCGGAAATTACACGGATTACTCTCAAGAAGACGTCTATGAATGGTTACCAATGGCGAAATTCGCTGCGAATAATGCAGTCAACGCTTCTGCCAAAGTTACACCATTCCTGCCAGTAGAGGGTTTCATCCACGCTTGAGTTTTAGCCCCCCATAAACAGTTGAAAGGGATTCTTCAAAAAGTCGTCCGAAACAAAGATTAGCGGGCACTGACTTCGCTTCCAAAATGGCAAAATTCCTCGACGTATTGCTCGCAAACCTTACACGCTCGAGAGATAGGCAAGAGCGTGCGTCTCGCGCAAATTGATCACCGGCACCAGCTTATCGAGTTGGCGATGAAGCTTTTCCCAGATGCCTGCAATATCACAACCTCCCAGCCACTTGCGAAGCTAGATTGTAGATTTATAGGACCGTTTAAACTTATCAAAATTATAAATTCTCACGCATATAAATTGCAACTTCCCTTCCAGGATAAAACTATGCATGATTCTTTTCACACAAGTTTATTCAGACCGGTACCGCATACTATTGTGGTTATGAGCTTGGCACACTGCGGAGTGGTGAGGAATTGATGATTTTGTAATTTATGGGTGATTGTGAATAGACCCATACAATACTATACTGTAGGCTTATGAACAGAAAGTATAAGACTAGTCCTGTATCCTTTTATCGTGGGTGCATCTATGAAGCTATACACATGCTCGCCAAACTAGTACACTAGTAATATGTGCTGTGGCCTCGAGACACGCGATGCCCTAGTCGACTACTTTGTCGTCACAAATCATAACACATACCCCCAACTAGGTCAGATCAAGCCTCCACCGCCACCTATTACCCTTGATGAGTCAGGCAAAAAGCTATCCTAGATTTTAAGCATAGCGGGAATAGAAATAATTTTCAGTATTTAATATTGTGGAGAGGTTATGATTCAGAAGGACAAATATGGGAACCTCTCAGGAACGTCGTGAATGCCATATCGAGCGGAAATATATTTCAACGACTCTCCTCACATAAGCCTAAACCATCATTGCGAGAGATCGAAGCTGCAAAAAGAAAAGACAAAAGCTCCGCAAATGAAATCGCGCCTAGGACTCAAGACATTCGGAGTGAGATAGGACCGCATGCCAAGGGATGGAGTAGACTCATACATATATATACATCGTGAATCGTGCATCAGACGCGTGATAAATGGTAACTGTCAGGGTATGAATGATCGCGGTCATAAACCGTATGATGAAAAGATTTACTACAGATCTAAAAATAGGTTCAGGGTGGAGAGGACCTATATACAGCTTGCTTTACAGGAGAAACATGAATCCGAGCGCATTTTCTAATGATCTACACCTTGATCTTATTGCATGTTCCAGCTACCAAATACAAATGATCGCCACTTGGAATAACTCAACTCCGCTTTAATGCTATTGTCTCGTTCCCTCACAGTGACCATAAAATCCCTGAGACTCGATAGGAGGCATCTTTTCCCTTTACAGAGAATTTCAATCAGCAGACTAGACTTCGTCGACCCATCTTATAACCTTTTCCACCACAGCAGACAAAGAGCTGCGCGTGCCTTGTATCTTTGACATGGAGTGTATAACTCATGCACCCGCCGGATTGCATTATCCTAGATAGCGACGGCTTGTTTTATGAATAGTTTTAGTGTAATTAGGCCAGACGAGAAGTAACAACCGGCCCCCGCGCTGACCGCGATTTTCCTAGTACATCCATCGGACCACATGCTTGGAGACTAGCGCTGATGCTCTCAACTACATGTTTGTACGTATAATGACATGCTAGGCAATTGACACCTTCCGCACTCCTTTGTGAGCTTGAACATGACCGAGGCCGGCCTAGATTTGGCTCACTAACACACAATTTCATAAGCCTCGTCCCACCTAGATGACCGGATTACCTCAGACTTATGCGTTGAATATATCAAGTCTAAACCTCCAGAGAAACCGACCTTGAAGCGCTAAACCGCAAATTTCTCGGCTTTAGGCGAATTGTAGTTCGTATTTCTTCGGTAGAAATTCATCGCAGGCCAAGAAACTTTCGCATTTTAAGCCAATACTTCGGCTGTGGTTTCACAGCGCACGACAGTTACGACAGGGAGCATGTCCTCTTTTACCTTACGTTACAAGCATGACTTTTAGATATTGAAGTGCTTCGATAGGTCGTGAAATGAGTTTGGCTGCGACATATATTGCGGGATCAAGCGCAATAACCCCTTCCGTTCACTGTGGGCGGCCCATGTGTAATGTTGGTCTCAGGGCCCGCTTAGTTACACCCCTGTAAAAATATCTTTTACAGATACTCTTACTCCGAATTGTAGTTATTCTTGCGTCGTCATTATTTTAGGAAATTGGAATGAACTTCGGATATTTTGATCGATCAATTATACGACGATCTCATTCTGTGGCAATATATTCCAGGAAAATTCGAGGTGGTTAAGAATATCAAAATTTTAAATGAAAATAACTGCAGGGTTGTCCCTATCTGCAGCTCGTAGATGAGTGTAGATGATTAATTTCGTTCGAGTATTTAGTCGTAATCTCTGTAGGTCGATATTTTGACCAAAAACTTGCCAACGATACCCCTTCTAACAGTCCTTGATGGAAACTGTCGACTGCATCTTTAGTCATGACCAAATCTCGGCTCTTGAAGAATATTTTACCCAAAGGTTCGTAGAGGGTGTCTTTAAAAGGTGCTCATCCAACGTCCTTTGGCTTCCTTGCTTGAATACATGGAAATAAAAAATTACAGCGTTTGACGTTTAATAATGCCACATGACTAGGTATCGAGACTTATAACAAGGGGCACGCTGAATATAGTGCTACTAGGCCCAAACTACATATAGAGGCCTTGCTGGAACCGCCTCTCAGACTTTTATGCTCAACGCCTGAAATTTATCTGAATGACTAGTAAATTCTTTATAACTCACACAATCTATAGCCTCCAGCTTTAGTTCAATTGACTAGAGAAGGCCACAGTGATGGTTGCTTTATGTTCCAGCCAGCTTCAAGATAACAAGATTGGGAAGGAAATTTAGTTGAAATATTTAGAGTCATAATACACCAGCTTTTAGTAAAAAATTATATTACATTTTGAAAACATAAAAATCTGGTGAATGGAACTTCCCGAAACCTAAGTTGTAGCTCCATTATATAGTATCACAAATACCAGGCTACCCCTCTGTTCAGTAAAAGTAAGTGTCAAGCGCTAAAATGAATGCCACCTACATCATTTGTACCTCCCTGAGCCATACTTGAACAAGTAAGTTTGGATAGGAAAGCTCGGAAGTGACCTCGTGTAATTGTTCGACTGAAAGTAGACTTATTAAAACTAACTGTATTCGAGAAGCCAGATTTAGAAGAGGTTCATACTTTTGCCTGCTACTCCAGCTCACAGCTCCATTAATTTATCAACTTAGAACAGAAAGGATCGTGTGTAAGCTTAGTAGTTCGCGCAAAATTTCTGGGCCACTCGTTTTTGCAGCGCTTTTGTTTAGTTTCACCAAAGTGTTACTTTATGGAAGTAGTTGTTGCCTCTCGAAGTAAAATAATACCGAACCGTTCAGCATCTAAAAACTTTGTTCCTTAATTGTATAGGCAAAGCACATTAGTATGTAGTCTTCTCATGCCAACAGTGCTTGATGAACTAGACTCCAGATACACGATGGAGTGAAAGCAGGGCGTGCTCGTTCTATATTTTCCATCTCCAAGTTGTGACTTGAGTTTTTGTTAGGACTTATAGTCAATATACCCTGGCGCTTCCGAGCGAGAGTGGTGTTATTGCGTAGCTATGCCGTGACATCTAATATCTTTAGTGCCTTAGACCTATAGAGATGGAGGAATGATTAATGACTCTATCTGTGTAGATTTGTGTTTTCGGATGAGTACCCTAGTCTAGGTCCTCATATTAAACCTTCTCCCTCCATATTAGGTATTCTGTTTCCTTCATCTTGTTCTAATCGTTTTGGCGTCACTCCACCATTACCATCACTGTAATAGCCTGGCCCAATGGTCGAATCTCTCTCTGAACCCACTAGACGATATTCACCATCAAATCTTCTTTCAATTATTCCTTCTTCGAGTGCCCATCTTGCTAATAATCGATCAACTCCAAGTCTACTAGCCTCGCCCTTTTCCATGTGTCTACCAACATGCTCTGTCCAATCGTCCCAACTACCTGTACCCTCAAAGACGCTTGTACAATCTGGCTTTGGACATGCTGATCTTTGTGGCGGTTGGCGTCTAATTACTAAACAATTATTTTGCATTTCTTTTACGTGAGTTTCCCACTCTGCCTGAAGTTTTGTATCATCTTTACTAAGACATTTCTTGATAGCAAAAGGAGCGTGCATACGACGTAAATGTTGAGTGAATAGATCTTTGCGGTTAAACTCATTTCCCTTGCCTTCAGCGGTGCTCTGTGGACAGGAAGAGCAGCGATAATATGTAAGGCATAAATGTTGTGATGCAATGTGACGCTTCCACTCATTTTTGGATCCAAATGTGCTCGTGCAGCCTGCAAAAGAAAATGCACATGGGAAAGGCCTTGTATGTGCAGCTGCAATGTGTTTTCGTAGGGAAGAAGAATCCTTAAACGGAATATGGCTACACAAAGAACAGCGTAGATCCTGTTTGGGACGAGCTTTCTGAGTTGGCTTTCGCGGTTTAGGTCGGGAGGCTGGTGAGTTATATTCAGAGTTATACACTATATCCTCATTGTTATCATCAGGCTCTGGCGAGGAAGCTGATTCACCCCGACTAATCCTTAGAGCCTGGGATTCTTCATTTACTGTATGCAGGTTGCGATCATGACTAACGTGCCGAACATGACTTAGGGCCTTAAGTTGTTCTGCAGCCTCGTGCATTTCAACCGAGTCTTCAACGTGTTTATGATCTGCAACATTGGAAAATCCCGGTTCTAGGTAGACATGAGGACCTGAGTTTGGGGTTCCTAGTATCATAGGATCTGTCCGCAGATTATCTTGCTGGAGTGGGTCTGAGTTGGAATCATTCCTTATTATATCGTTCCTAACCATGACTGGGGTCGAGGCTGCAGCCTGACGAGCTTGTAACAAAATTTTTCCATCTTCTAGTTCCTTAAAGGTAGCAGCTTTATTCATAGGAGAGAACCCATTTATAAGTCTCTGGTACTCCACTGTCATATTGTGGGAATTAACATAGCCCAGGAAAGCGCAAGTTCGATCAGCAGCGAGTACATTCCATACTGATATCGGCATCGATATGAGAAGAACGGTTGGAGGGCCATGAAACATACCCTCCACTGCTATTTTACCAGCAGCTACAGGTGCATGATGAAGCCATTGCTTGAAGGAAGACATTTCTGGACTGGGCTCGCCGAGAAATGTTGTACAAACCAAGGCCCTTGGTTCTTCAAACGTGAGATCGTTCGTAGGATTGAATTTAAGCAATTGTGACTGTTCAAGTTGGAATCGAGCATTTTCGCCTTCTGGATCAGCAAGGATTGTTGGAGAGCTCAACTGCGAAAATTGTTGTTGAGAGCCACATGGAGAAATCAAAATACCTTTCGTATGGTTTGATGTCAGGGAAAAGTAGATGGGCATCCTTTCATGATTAGAGGAGCTACTGTTGGCAGCGCTCATCTGTCCATTGGCTTGCCCTGCATGTTGTAGAAATTTATTTTGTTTTAAGGCTACGATTTCCTCGTGAAGTCTTTGGGTAGTAAATGGCCGGCCATTTCCTAACTTTGAAAGAGCTTGTATTAGGTTGTAAGTGAAAGATCTAGGGCCTGGGTCTCTTGCTGCTTGATCGGGTGGATAAGCAGCAATTATTTGTTTTAAGGTATCATCGCCTGAAAAGGACCCCTCAGAGATGGCACAAGTGTCTAAAAGTAATAGGATTTCTGATTGAGAATCTTCTATACAACTTCTGATGCTTTCCCACCTTATTTTGGGAGCATCTTTTTCGGGGTTGCTAGTTTATCGTCAGTGCTTGAAACAAGGCTAGAAAGGCTGAACATACCTTGCCCAGTAGAGGTTAAGATCTGATCCTAAAAATCCGTAGCCAGTGTAATAAACAATCCAAAGATGGTCTTGCCTGGAATATCCGAGATGCTGATCCATTTGCGTTGTAAGATCAGCCTCTGGATTGGGACAGTTGGGAATACACCAACTCTCAGTTCGATAATTGAAATGATCTTGGAAAAGCTTCTCGAGCTGTAGGAAATCTTGCTCGACACTCTGATCATCTTCCCAGCGCAAAAGAAGAACTGAGACACTTGTATAGGGAGAACGGTTCGCCTGAGAGTAGATAAGCATAGCGGCATCCTGGAGATGACGGGCAAAAGATTCAAAGTCGCTTCGCTCGGAATAGGGTGCGGTTTCCACCACAGGAGGTGGGGGGTATTTGTATGGATCATAATTTTGCTGCAATTAATGATGATGTTAAATTATATTACTTCAAAGGTATTTTATCGAATCATACCTGTTCAACCATAGAGGCCTTTTCTTCAGGTCTAGGAGCAATTTTCCGCTTCTTCGTAGAGGGCTCCATTAGTTGTGAGAACAGATTGAATAAGTGCCGTTAAACAATATGGGGATCCTGTAAAAAAATCTTAATTTATTGATTCTTGAGAAAATTATGAGAGATTGAGTTAACGGTGATAACTGTTTCGCTATTGGAACGTCACAGCGCCTAAATAAGAGCTGTTGCGAGCCTTGTTCCCAGCAGCCTCAGCAGATTTGTTTGAAGCCTTGCCTCGTAAAATCACGTGATATTGGCTTGAACTAAGGCTGCACTAGTACGCCAGCAAAGTCTAGTGAGAAAGAGGGATACGGTTGTACGTTGCTTATATTATGTCAGTCATAAAACATCTAGAACATTGAGCTCTACTCTGGCCCAGGCCACACCTTGTACAGTGCTACTTGCCTCTTTTGTTAATTGTAAGATCATTGATATATTGCCCATGATGAATAGCCATTCAGCTCAGGGTTTACCTGTAGAATTCGGCCACCTTCTCCACGGAACCTTCTACCAAAAAAAATAAAAACGGAAACGGTGGAAACTGCGTGCGCGGGAAAAGTCTCAAAAATCTGCAGCCCCAGCCAGGCAAGGTTTAGTCACCAGATACATAAGAGATGGGCATATCCATCTATATCTCCCTTCCTTGTAACAATGAAGGTCAACTTGATCTAATCCACGATTGCTGAGCCGGGTACGCTCCGGAAACTCATCGGATGGCTTTTCCTCCATGATCAAGGGTTGGTGATGAGTAGGGCTTCTATCCTACCATCCGATCTGATCGTGGTTAGCTTCATGATAATGGTGATAGGGGAATGTGCTGAAAGATGAAGACAATACAGACAGCGAATGCGATTGGGAATCATCGTCGAAGTGAGGACTTTGTTACTCAATCTCGGCTCTGCAGACTCTACAGTGAGAGCTGGAGGTTCGTTTGGGACGCCACTGACAGGTGTCGAGAATAGTCCCCCACACAATAGCCCTAATTTAGAGAGGAATTACCGCATCTTCACATTGGAACTTCTCTTCATTATGGGTCCAGTCAAGCTCACGCGGGTCCTCTACTTCGATCTTGCAACACCATCTCTCTTCAGTTACCGATAGAGAATTTCTTCCAATTGCAATTGGGTATTTTCCTCATAAAAAAATGGTCGTTTCCCACTAAAAAGTTATGATGTTATGTATACCCGCGAGAAGAGACTAAGTCGCAATCTATAAAGCTCGAGTCTTGGTCTACGAGGGACCGTTGCTCCAATGTGGCTTCATATATTAAGAGAGGAGAGGCATCTGGGATGTTGAACAAACGAGTGAAGAGGTCACAAATGGGCATACTCGGACGCATAATTTTCGAATGTTTTCGACTTTGGAGGACTTGTGAGCGCCGAAACTACGATTTCGGACAGTGCTACTATTAAAATTATAAGCTTAGGTGAGTATCACTATAGAAGCTGAATTTATGTGAGTATATAGATCGATGAGACTAGATTGTGGTTGAAGGTAAATTAGAGGATAATTGTACTTAATTTATTTTTGATTTGATTTCATTTAGCTCGTTCAGGTACCCTATGGGCCCATTCAGGAATATCTAGCTATAAAATTTACACAGGAGGAAACCAAATTCGGTAAAAACCTCACACAACTGTCTGTCTCGTGTCTATTGGTTTTCTGAGGTTTCCTACAGGAATTGCGTTTACACTGTTTATAAAGTGTGAAATCCGTCTTATCCTTGTCCACATTGTCTCATCTCTCCGTCCAATGCAATCTCTGCTTCTCCTGCAAGCCGGAATTGTTCAAACCAGCCTTTTGCCAGGATCCATTTTGTGGTTCTCTCCATATCATCTCGGCTGCTCATCATTGCCGTGTAGGACCTATCTCTTGCTTTTCGAAGCACTTCTGCTCTTCCCATCGCCCACTGAGGACACGCCAAGACCATATGTTTGACATTTTGAGACGGATATCTACACTGACATTTTGGATTAATCACTCCGGGGACTTTCCTTCGATACAGATAAGAATTGAGACCAATGTCGATCCCAACTGATGGAAACACGACCGTGCACATTGTGCGCTGTTGATTGGCTCACGTGGTGCTGGAGAATATTTAAATAAATTGGCAATCCTGTATTATAGAAATCAATTCACGTATTATTAGTCTCAAGCTCTACTCACATTACATTGTTGATTAGTCGGAGCCACGAGACACCTGCGTGAAATCATTGTGATCATAAACTGATCAACCAGAAGCCACACCATTGTGCTCACTTCTTATCTGAACTGCACTACTGCTTTGGACCCTACTAAGGTTCCGGTGGATATTTGAGGGTGTGTTTCTATGTGTAATCTTTTTTCTGCCTGTTGTCTCATCTGTAATAATATTTGCGGCTTTCCAATACTTAATTTATTTATTATTGTAGTTGTATGCCGAATAATATTGAATTCGATTTCATCTTGCCCAATTTGGCACCCTATGGGCCTATGCAGGTGTCTACGAACTCTAATATTTATATAGGAGGAAACCTTTATGGTAAAAACCTCCTCAACTATTCAATTTGTATACACTCTGATACTGTGTTACCTTCAAGAAGTGCACTAACACTATTATGTCCAGTACAGATACCGTCCACTTTATTGCTACCGGCGGGAGATTATCTTTCTCCTACTCTTGTCTCTCTCCCTCATCGTGGCCTCAACTTCGAGTGTCAGTCAAAACTGCTCTAGCCGTCCTTCCTACAGGATCCATCTAGTTATCCTTGCAATGTCTGTGGAATTACTCATCATTGTCTCAAATGACCGGTTCTCTGCCTTTCTCAGTATTTTTCCTCTTCCCTTAGCCCAGCTAGTACAGGCCACGATCATGTGCTTCACATTCTGGGATGGATATCCACATTGGCATCGTGGATAACATACTCCGGAAACTTTTCTTCTATGCAGATAGGAATTGAACCCAATGTGTTTGTTACAGGCTAGTACCTTATTTAGTTATGACCGGAGTTTATCCGGTTCATTTATCAAGAAGTCTTAGAGTACATGTCTTGGCCGTATTAAGGAGTTGTGTAAAGGATAAATCCTGCATAAATACATACGCGACGGGTGGTATGGAGTAGATAATCATTTAGACTTCGTAGTACGTATTTCTTTATACAGAATATTATTCAATTTACGACACACTTTCATGCGAATAGCTAATGTGATTAATCCCTTCAGTGTTCGCTTCTTATCTGCATGGCTATGCTGCTGTGGGCCCTGCTCAGGTTTGATGGAGACTGGAAGTTGTTCTTTGGTTCATTTCTGTCTTTCCCGTCTTATCGTCTGTAAAGATGTTTGCTGCATTCCATATTTTATTGTATGCCGAATACTCGCTACTTATACTCGTGTGCGGCCGCTAGTCAGCTTCCGCACACACAAAATTCCTTCTACAGATATAGAAAATATTACAAGGACTACTCGGGCAGTCCAGATATCTAATCCCATTATGTACATACAAGTATTCTAGTCAGATAACATGCCCATCACAACACTCCCCTTGTCGGTAACGACTCTTGATTAATATAGAATTGTTTAGGTTATTTGTTAAGTTGTAGCAAAGGATTACTGTAATGGAGCTGATGAATTAACCTTTGTAAGATTGTTAGCTAGTTGTCTAGATGAAGGTATAAACATCAGTTCCTTGTGTCCTTTTTCGTATTGTTCTCTGCAGTAGTAATTTCGAAGAGCTATATGCTTAGATATTTTATGGTTGTCGTGATTCCCGATTAAAAAAATTGCCGATTGGTTGTCTATGTGGAGCTTTGTGCAATTAGCTCCACTAATGCAATCATTAACGCCCAGCTCTTCAAGTAAGGATTTTATCCACTGAAGCTCATGGTAGGTCTCAGCGGCTGCTAAGTATTTATCTTCTATAACTGAGAGCACTAGCTACTTCTGCAACTTTGAGCACCAACTTACTGGGCTGTTTACGAGCGTGATAAGCGAACTGATATTGAACAACTACCTGAAGTTTCAGCTGCAAAGTCTGCATCTGTATATGCTTCAAGTACTGATTTAGATCTTGTTCTAGTATATCTAAGGCCTCAATCGGGATCCTTTGCAACATATCTTATCACACGACATGCGGCTTGGCAATGCCAGGATGATGAATTCTTTAGGAAACGTGCGAGGTAGTTTACTCCAAACGCAATGTCTGGGCGAGTGTTGTTTGCTAAAAACTGCAGACCGCCAATAATTAAGTTGTATTCCGTCTTTTGATGCTCTTCGCACGTTGTTTCATTGTGTTACGGTTTGACCGTGGTTTAGCTAGGTGGAGACCTAAGCGGAGTTTGGGGGCGCAGTAGGGAGTGTTCTATATTGTCTTGTAATAAGCAACTAAGTTTCACTTGGCCACATTACATTAAAGCTAGTAAGGAATGTGAGACGGCGAAGTACAATTACTAAGTGAGAGAGTCAAGATAAATGGCAAAGATAACGACGGGCAGTGACGGAGCAATATGTCATGCTTACCAATGGAGTACGTACTGAATGGGCTGGAAGGATGTACAAATAGCCATTACCCGTAGTTGTGTTACTTCTCTCTTCATATAGTTTAATTTTTCTAAAAGTAAACTACAACCAGCTTGGTTTCGTCACATGTTAGTATCTATGAGGCGTTCGAGTGCAGAGGATGCTGGTTTACAATCTGATAATCCGTGTCTTTCTATAAATGAGCGAGCATATCGACTCTGTAGAAGTGCTAGTGTGTCTATATTTAAGTTCAATATATTGATTCCCAGAAACAGATCAGTGTCGAATGCTTATAGTTATTACTTTTTGTGAAGTGTAAGCATAAGGTCATCCATTTTTTGGATATTTGGTACCTGAACTTGGAAGTCATCGACGTACATCGTTACAAATAACTCCTTCTGTTCATTTTTATATAGACATATATCTGATATTGTTGGATGAAGTTCGTTTTGGCCAGGGCAGCTCGTGCATCATCATACCATAGTGCTGCTGCTTGTTTGAGTCCATCTAGACCTTTGCGGAGTTGTATGAGACGGCCATTCCTCTCAAATCCTTGCGGAAGTTCCATATACATATCAATATCGTTATTTGGTTTCAGGAAGGCCTTAGGAACATCACTTTGCTTTCGGTACCAGCCAAACTGGTGTGCTAGAGCTAGCAGTATGCATCCAGTTTCGGACCTGGGTGTAGGTGCGAAAGTTTCGTGACACTCTACTCCTTCTCGCTGAGTGTATCCCTTGGCTGTTCATCGAGCTTTGTATCTTTCAAGACTACCATCAGCTATAACCTCCTTTAAAAATACACAATTGTATTTAATTGGCCTGCGTACTCATGGGAGTTCGTGACGCCTAATTATTTTTATTGCGCCTTTTTCTTATAGTGATCGCAATTCTTCGTTTTTGGCGTTTTTTCATTGTGACGATTGAGAAGAGGTCATTGTCTCGACCCATGTCTTAGGTTCGGTTGATGCAAGCGCTGCTTTTCTATGATGTAGAAGTTTGTAGTCATGTCGCACTACTTCCCTACCGCTTCTTGTGAGCAAGGTTTCTCGCTCTGGGGAATGTTCACGTTTCTGCCTTGCCACTGGAACTACCGGACGCTTTAGCACGCCCTACAGCAGCTGGAAATTACAAAAGAGTCCGACCAGCTGCCTGTCACTCTGCTTTCAAGTTTAAGCGTAACAAATTTCCCTCCACCAGGAACTCGACTTCTTTTTTACAATTAGTTTTAAATTAAACCCACAAAAAAAGAAAATAAGAATAAATCTTTCCATCTAACCTTGATCTCTCACCAGATCGAAAAATTTTACTTGGAAATATCTAATGGGCTCTATAGATTTCGTCGTAGAACTTCGTCAGCTCGACCCATTTTCCGAAGGCGAGGGCACCTACAGGCGTGCCAAGTACCCATTTGACGCCGGGGCAAGGATGTCGAGGTCCACCGCGAAGACAGGCACGGTTTCTTCCTACAATGCAGAAGAAGTGACCTGGGCTTTTTTCTTCGCCACATGAGCAGATCAATAGGGCATCTTCGTGTGCGAAACGTCGATATAGGGCGAAATCTCCGTGTTCAGAACGAGCTGCGATAAGCGCTCCAAATGACCATCGACTTAAGCCCTTCAGTTCCGGGATTATTCCTGAGCTAGGACCGATTCCATGGTTATTTACATCTAGACCGGACCTCTCGTTCCCAGAAATCGTTGGCGGAGGCCCAGTAGAGCTGAGCAACCTTCCTTTTTGCCCTCGCCATGGACAGAGGGAGAGACGATGTAGGCATTAGACATGCTGTCTTGGCTAGAGAGTCTACTGCTTGGTTCCGGGGATCCCAGAATGTCCGGAGCACCATCGGACACTAACTGTCTCAACCCTAGTGCAGGATGCGCGTTTCCTTTTAGACCAGCTGGCTGCGAGTTTTCGGAATTTCATAATATGACGGGGAATTGTTGCAGTTAGGGGTAACAGGAGCAGCCGTAGAGCCGCTTCTTGGTTGTCTAGGCATACCGTTACGTTAGTTGCATAAAATGCCATAGGATTGCGAATGACAGCTGCTAGCCCCTCCAGAAATTTCTGTATCGTAAACTTCTGCTGAGGTACCTAGAGGTATATTTCCACAGGCTATCTCGTGTGACGCGCCACGTCGTATCGGATATCCTGATCCTGCTCGATTCTCGATTAACGCACCATCGGAGAAAACATAGAGGTCCAAAATTGATTGCAGGTCAAACCGACCGGAGAAGGCATCGACTCCAGCATCGCGATCAGCTGCTCCGATATTTTTCAGATGTACCCCGATTAACTTTCCGGAGTGGAGAAATAGTATCTTCTGAGAGTTCTGGAGAAATTCTTTGTCGGATCCAAAGCATTCTTGAGGAATTCCATCGTCTACTAAGGGGGTGCCTAGGATCTGCCGAGGCTATGCGGACGGATAGGTATATCTTACAGGTGTGAATCTTGAGATATGTAGTAAGTAGGTACAGTCACCTGAAACGGTAAACGACTTGTGCTTTCCTAAATAGGCTAAAGCTCATCGAGCAAACTGCCTCCCCGTGCCTCGTCTGTAGGCACGACCTGCCTAAACATTACTAAGCCATACTCAAGAGGGCAGAGCGTCTCTTAGAAACACATAGTCGTGACAAGGTGAGATCTTATCTGTCGTCTTATGGGAAAGACGCAAGTTTCTAACTTTTTCGACTACAGGTCACAGAATTAAAACTGGTCGTAAAAAAATTCAGAGGCAACCTACACCACAAATTCTGGGAGCCATCCAATATCTCATCTACATCCCATTTATAGCCATGTCATATTTTAGAATAACCCTCATGCGGTCAGGCATTGGCCTCCCTAAAAGGACCCAGGGAGTTCTTAAAGCTCTCGGCCTGCGGACCCGGATGAAGACTGTTTTCTATCCTGTCTCATCTCAAGTCGCTGGTCAAATCATGCAGGTAAAGGAATTAGTGTCGGTCAAAGAGGTAGAAAAGGCGTTGAACCGAGAAGAACTGAAGGCAGAGAAAAGGCCTAGTCCCGGGTTTTACATCGAGAAGGCAGCACATCGCATTTATTGAGGAAGTGTAAGAGGTGCATTTAACCAAGATGAAACAAGTCCCGATGCATTAAGATATGGTACAACAGCAAAGGAAGTAACCATAATTCTATTCAATTTGGTATGAGACCATATCTGCCTCCCGTCACAGACTCGACCTACGGTGCACTTGCCGCTCTGGAAAATGCTCGACAGAAATCCTACTTCTCATCAGCATGGTTATGGTAGACAGGTGGTATCTGCACACAACCAAGTAATGCCGATAGGCATTCTGAAACTTTCACCGTTTTTCTTTTTATCTAAACAAAATTAGTGTTACACGCGTAGAATACTGTCAATTTTGGACGATGGCGTCGATAAGGTCATTATAAGGGTAAAAAAAGAGACCTCATTCCATGTACACGAATATACTGAGATTAAAAATTTAGTATCTCATCCATTGCTTATCATCTGTCGTGAATGCCGTTTTTCTCAAATTATCTAGCGATGATCTTCCTCAGACTCTGGAGCATCATCCACCTGGTTCGACAAAGTGCTGAGTTCATAGAAATGTTGTCTTAATACCTCCCAGTACCTTAGTATGACGAAACCAAGCTAGTTATATACATTTCAAGAAAGATTAAACAACGATTAGAGAGAAGCAATACAACTACAGTTAATTGATATTTGTACATCCTCTCAACTCGCTCATCATTTCTCTTTTTATGGGACTGACATCTTGCTTCGCCACTGTTTATTGTTATCCTAGCTATTCACATTTTCCCTCGCACTTGGCAATTATACTTCGCCGTCTTGCAACCCTTCCCAGCTCCACGTCGGTATGGCATAAGGAAGCTTGATCTCTGGGAACAAAATAACTAAGAAGATTCTCCCTTATGTGCCCCAAACACCGCTTACTTCTCCAGCCAAGTTAAACAACGTGAATACCAGAACATCAAGGTGTTAGTAACGTTACCGATGCGATATCAAGCCATCTTTACTTGAATTCCTTGAACCAATGGAGCACACGGCGAAGAAAAAGAAAATCTTGAAGTTAGACAACTAGAGGTCTTTTAATAGCTGTATAAAGTGAACAATCGCACTAAGGACTACCTCTTAATTTACAACATTTCATGGGTTATCATTATTATTCAGACTCGTAGAGTTTACACTTGACTATTACTATGACTCCATACACTCAAAGCTACCTAGTGTACTTGAAGTAATAAGATTAGGCATGTGCATGCTACATAAAATCGTTAGATTTATACCTTACGCGTACATATTCTTTTTGCAACATCTAAATTACTCTATGGATGATTTGGTCATTCTACACTACGATTATAGTTAACGTCTCCAGGGCTTGACCCTCAATATCTATGAGAACAAATATTGGCATCTTTCAATTTTAAAATGTCTTAAATATAATTAGAGTCTTTAGTTGGATTCACAAAGTCCTCCATAGTCTAAGACTCAGAAGGGACTATAATAAAAATCAAATCTAATATATAGTTCATGCCTTTGCATGGAAAAGATTGATGCGACTCAGATATTTTATAACTACTCCGACTGGTTCCGCACTTCCTGACGCTGGCAACCTTTTATTTAAGACGTGGGCCTTGTATTGACTACAATGCATTCGGTTCTCTAGCTATGTCACATTGATCTTCCGACTTCTAATATCCCGAATTCCGATATAGACTTGTCGTAGCAGTTTGTACTTCCAATCTGAATGTCAACTTCTTGAGCTAGTTTATTTCTTCAACCTCTTTGTCGTTGCAATTTGCACTGAGAAGGTTCAAAATCTTTATTCAAGGCTCCCTATACCAACCTGGCTCGGAATAGGAAAGGAGCGGAGTCATTCTATCTTTGGCCCATAATCAAAAAACTGTATCAAATCTCCTCACTCTTTGAACTCCGCTTGGCCTATAGTTTAATGGTCAGTTTAGACTGGGCAATGTTAGTCTTTGGAGCTAGCGCAAGATCTATAAGCGCTATTTTCGTGGCAACAGCTAGTTTGCCTGAACCACTCTTCGAGATAAAATCACCCGTCTGATATGGCCCGAAAGCTCATTGTTTGATTATAATGGCGATGATGAGACCGTTGTCTTTTGTTACCCAAACTTGATTAGATGCTCGTAGAGTACCGTGTGATTCAAGCCAGGAACAAGTTTATGTTTATTGGGATTGGCGGCAGAGCTTCTTCAAGGCCGAAAGCCACAGTTGCTAAGACTCTTAGGCTATTTATCGTGTATTCGTCTCGTGTTGAGCTGTGGAGCTGTGGACTCTTTGGCAGCCTGGACGCGATAGACGTAGTACGGGTGACAAATCTCCCTTGATTGGCTTTCAGCACACATGGATGATGGATAATTAATGGCCATTCCTGTTCTTGCGGGGCGAAAGTAGGTTTGGCGAAGGACTATGTCTCTGATGATTTCCTCATGTCAGTAGTCGGGCAAGTCCTTATTCAACCGTGCCTCGGACTCTTCGCAGCTATACGGCGCCGGCCAATCGTCTTTATGGTGTCAGTTGGTGAGGTGATGTAGAGCCCTCGACCGAAAAAAATGTAGGAAGTGTCCACTCAACATTACAAGTGTTAGTGCTGGGTCGGCGACGGACATTGAAAGCTTGAACGAGAGCTGCTAATGCTTTAGAGAGCATAATATATATCAGATACGGTCTAGTCAGTCGAAATAATAGATGGGTTTTATTGTACAACTTGAGTCATAAACTATCTAGCACATTGGGCTTCTCTGCGACCCGTGTCACGTCTAGTACAATGCTCCCTTCTTAAATTCTTACTCGAAAGCTTTTTGATATATTGCCCGCAATGAATAGCCATTCAGCTCAGTATTTACCTGTGCAATTCGTCCACTTTTTTTCAGGGGTCCTTTGGTAACAGTGGGAAGTGTGTGCGCGGGAAAAAGTCTCAAAGAACCCGCAGCTCCAGCCAGGAGGAGTAGATACCGGGACCACATGAGGTGCGCACAACTATCTATATCTCTTCGTAATATTTAAAGCGAACTTTATCTAATCCACCAGCCATCAAGCCATGACATTATTTTATACAAATTCAAAAACATAAATCTGATTTCAACTTGTTCAATTCAACCCCAATCTTCCTTTTTTAAATATCTATTCTTCAATAAGGACAATTAGTACTTTCTATACATGAGTGGTCTGTATACTCGTAAAACAGTAAATACGTATATCTGTACAAGATTTCCCTATCTGTTTCATAAAGGCAAATCTATTGCCTATCCCAGTTCTAGCCTGTAAATAAGCTGAGTGTGATTTTCGGCTGTATTTATTGAGGTTAACTGGCTTAAGGTTTAATTTTAGAATTAAAAGCTTGGTTTGGGTCCTGTAGAACCTCCCTAGTCCTCTTTCTTCCTCGTCATCTTCATGGAATAACTGTGATGTCCAATCCTTGCGCTAGGCATATTTAGTGAAATTCTTAGTCTCTTATTTGAGAATCTTCTGACTTCAGGGACACTCTTATTCATGTGTTCATTTGCAAATATCAATTAACTACATTCGCTTACACTGAACAATAGACCGTCCAGCCTGAGTACCCAGCAAAGGAAAGTTTCAATGCTTTGGTTATCCAAACACGCTAGCACCGCGAGAAATATGGTGCAGTCTTGCCAGATTTGCATCAATGATCATCTATCCCAAGTGGAATAGTTACTTAAGTTTTACAGACTCTAGGCTTGGGTACTGCAGTGGTTTACCGTCCAGGTCATTCTCTCAAGTAGATTCTGGGTAGCTTGAAGCCCTATCCAACTTAAGAAGGGGACGCCTCTAATCTTATTTCGCGCGGAGGCTAGTCAGTGTATGGTTAGCCATAAATTTGGTTTGTAAATGATCATGCCTCTCAACACTCCATCTTAATGGTGGTCTTCAGTGCCAAGTAGTATTTTTCCCGATAGTTATGGCTTGGAATGCGGTCCTGATGTCGGCATTGGAAGATAAGTGTCCAGTAATTTTTGTGGATTTTCCCGGCAGCCGCAGCCCCGTAAATTTCCTGCGATCCGTTAGTTGCGAAGAGGAGATAACAATGGACGAGAGGCTCCTCTAAGTGTAAAATTCAACCAGGAGCTGTGAGGGGTGGGGCTGCTAGAAGTGAGCTAAAAAGAGATTTAAGAGAATCTTTACTTCTCGAGACATGAGTATCCTTGGTCTGCAGGCTGACAGTGCTTCCATGTCTAATCTAGTCCTAGTCTGAGAAAAGAAATTTATGACAAAGTTACGCTACAGTGGCCGGCGGGTTCCGCTAGAGAACTAAAGAGAAGGATAAGTATTGCGGGACGGTCTGTGTATACATCATTTGAGCAAGTTTTCGTAAGGAAGTCTGTCTATTTAATACGATCCCGCGAGGAGTGGGTTATCGAATTTTCTATGTTGAGTTTATAATCTTTATCCCTCAGTATATCACTGTAGAAAATATTTGTGTTTTCTAAGTGAAGACTGAGGATGCCTATTTCCTCAACAGAACCAGCCCACACGAGGCCTTATTTAATCACAAGCCGTAAGTCTCTTTTTGCAGTTCACTCTGGTTCCTTTCAAAGTGACTGGGCACAGACAACATGCCGGTATATAGCAGCCGGAAAACTTCGCAGAAAGCATTGGGTGCGGACTTATCGTAAAGATGACATGGGTTGATATTATGTAGTACCGTAGGTATATCAACGATAGAAGTACCCCAAGACTCTTTTGCAGTTAATCTCGGCTCTGCAGACCTGGCGGCGTGAACTGGAGGGTCGTATGGGAAACCGCTGACATTAATTTAATCTTCGTGCGCCTAAGGCCTCGCATTTCTTTGCATGGAAGGCATTAGATGGACCCTAGGAGACCTGACGCGCTTTTCGGCGGCTTCTGTGCTGATATTCCCGACTCATAGGCTTCCACTACTTGAGATTTGGTATTTCAAACAATCGCTGGCCATAGAAAACAACTGTGGGCTGGATGGATCGTGAGGGCTTTCGAGGATCCACATGAATGTTTATGTTCCGATTTAAGTTTAAGTAACTCAGTACGCCGATGGCGTAGCCAGGATAAGCATGACCAGAATTCAAAGGGAGAGTTTCTCTTGAGGCCAGCAAAGCCGGCCAGGAAAGGGTACGGAGCCACGCGCGGAGGATCTTTACCAGAGAACTTCTACCTCTATTGCCAAGGTGACGCACATGTGAGACTTTAAATTTGAGCGGATACGAAAAATAACTGCATACGAAATCTGGGCTGTTGGGAGGCCGGTGGGTACCGCGTGCTCTTTGGGGATCTAGAGCTATGAGTTGCAGGGATAAGGTTTCAATCTGGTGGTGACTCAAGGGACATCTTGCATCAATGGCTCCGAAACTCAAGCGTGCAGAACAAATAAATGGCAACTTCGGATAAGTGGAGACAACAAGGCGATGAAAGTTTCAGCACAATATTCTTCTTAGATCTACAGTCACGTGACCTAATTGGATGAATCTTGATCCGTCGATGTGGTGGGGGATAAGGAAAAGGTGGATGAAAAGGGCTACTGGGTACATTAATGCCAAGACCAACTTTGTTTACACAAGACGACTTGGCTGCATATAGGGTCCCTTCTCGGCATCATTAAATGATTCTACCCAGATTACTTGAGCGCGTGGTAGATGTGCAAATGTTGATGTGCGTTGATAGGCGTATGGGCGTGATGGATGGATACTGTCGGCTCGGAGGAACATGCGCAGAGAGGGAACCAGGCGCGGTGATATTTCGATTGACTTCAATTATATGGTGAAATTATCTCACAGTCCCTCACGGTGAGACGAACGGAAGAACATCCCAGCGTCCTTACAGCGAACCGAGACAAAAACATCGACCTGCGGCATTATAGAATCCAACGTGGTATCAGAAGGTGGCGTATTCCCACAATTTTTTGTGACTCGGGGCATGAGAAAAAGAACCCGGAACAAAATGATGCTGGCGAGAAGAAATGGGATGGTCGTGTTTATCGAGGCAACATGCCCTTCAAAGAGTTGACACGAGAATTCGAGGGGGGAAAACGTAGTCGCATGCAAAAAGTCCAGTCGAACTGGCCCCAGCTGATAGTCGAAGGAAGATCTCTTGGGTGGAGTGGGGAGGAAGAGATGGTCATGCTCGGGACGACAGGATGTAGGGCTAACTGTTTGTGAAGCGGCATGGTTCCCCAAAAAATCGGGATTCCCAACATAGATTACCACACATTGACGATTTTCAAGAGCCAGATACTTTTCCAGCTGACACGCTCTGCCGACGGATGTTTGCCGGTGCCAGTGTGTATATGTCGAGGCCGGCACGACGGGCTTGCTTGTCTACCATCTTAGAAGCATCAGTATGAGATGGCGAGGATAGAATTCGGTGGACCTTACGAAAAGAGGGCGCTTTGCTGGCTTAGGTGGGACATCTGGGACAGCTCCCAGGCATGTGAGTTAAGGGCTCTTGGATCAACTCTCCATTCAATCCTATAGCCGGCTTGGCACCCAGACAGATGTATCCGGTCTTGAAAGTTTCTTCACAGCGATCGTACTTGGTGATCTTGAAAACATGCTTTGGCTCTTTTACGCATTCCTTGTACGAAATTTTGCCCTCGAAATACAGACACATGGCGTCTGGTCGGTGTTGTCTCAAAGTTGGGTGAGAGATGGAGTTGGGGGCGCTGATAGTGGTCTCAGAGTTTGTGGCGTCGTGGATGTGGTGCGGAGAGAGGGAGAGAGAGAGTAGTTACAACAGCAATAACAGCGTTGAAGACTAGGTGATCGTAGATGCCGTGGAACAGCTGCCTTCAAATCTTAGCAATCCGCACCCCGACTCCACCGGCCGACGAAACAAGAAGCTGGATGCATCCTCCCTGAGCAAATTTTAGGGTTTCGGGTGCCAGAAAGGCCGAAAAACGACAGTGACGTGTCTGTGAGGGTCGGGCTATCGGTTGGCGCGAAATGGCTGGTCTGAAATGCGGTGTCGCAAAAGGCGTTGGATGCGTCTTGGCATCGCTCGTGATGTCTCGATGCGCCGATAAACTCTAAATTGCTCTACTCCCTTCGCCGCCTGCACCCCAGTGGCTCCTCCAGCCGCCGTCCACTCCACCCGTCGCGCATAGACGACAGGGAAGCTTCGGGCGGGGCTTCGGAGAAGACAGCCATGCGCCAGAGGCTCAATGGGACTCCAGAGGATGAAGCTCCATCAGCTCCAAACCACGCCCTCTAGCCGACCCAGGCACAGATGTGTGAGCCTTCTATCCACGGCGGAAAAACGCCTTCCATAGCCACCTAGCGTCTCAAGCCTAGTCCCTTCGGTGTCACTAGAGGCTCGAGGTATCGGGATGAGAATTGACTCAGGCGAATGTGACGAGGAAGAGAAGGGAAGATGGTCGCGTGCCCTTCACACACTCCTGGCTTACCGCCCTACAGTGACTGAGAACACGTTTATACGACATTCGACACAGTCGCTACAGCAACATGGTAGCACGAGCAGCGTGTAGATCCAGACAGTGTTTGACTGGCTAGACGGAGAACACTAGTCGGATCATCTGCTTCCGGTTGTTTTGCGCCTGTTTGACTGCTGTTCCTGGCCCCAACTCATCGAGGGTGTGGAGATTTCACGGCCTGAGGGAGAGGCGTGGGCTAAATCTTGGGTGATAAATTCCGCTCTCCAGGTACAGAGCGAGAGAAGTTTGGCACCTTTCTAGAACTGTCGCGAATACCCCAAGCTTTTCCCCGGGAATCATCCGTTAGCTGGGATTCATGCGAGTCTAGACCTGCCATGGCCTGTCCGCTCCCGTGCCGCCAACGGCTCGAACAGAAGTCAATTCAAATTAAGGCTTTCGTGACAATAGGCCAGGTTGTCGCCCAGCAGAGAGAGTGGGAGTAGTCAGATGTAAGCACGGAATCTAATTGAGGGGAAAGATACTGGAGCCCTGTGCCAGCTGCCACTCGCATCCTACGTATTCCTCACTCTTCGTCCTGATTGAGATGGCCGCCATATTAATGGATCATCCATGGCTATGGCCTGGCCATGCCCTCTCGCCAATCCTACGAGATTACCGTCCGGAATTCCATGGGTGTTGGCGATATTCGAAAATTTAGGGGGATGTTTGTTCTTGGTCCGCCTTTCCGTTGAACAATTTGTCAATTCTGGCTGCTGCCATCATTCTCGGACTCCGTGATGGCTTCTCTTATCCACGACATTCTCTTCTAATCCAGTCGCTCCGCTTTTAATTACGCTGTTCACAACAATCGTGATTGACACGCATAGACAATTATTTACAGCGACACGGGAGCTACAAGGGATGATATGTCCACAGCAGTAACACCTGTCGTTATCGATATTTTACACAGAATTGTATCAAAGCGGACCTAGTCCGACAGAATTGGGGTGACTCCTTGTTTAAGTGGCCCAAATCTAAGCCATAACTGAATGAGGCAAGACTTGCATCAGATCGTGGAATATCGAAACTCAATGATATAACCCAGACTAACCAGTTTAATATCTCAAGCCCTCGTCACATCTAGTACAATCCGGCGTGCTATCATTCTTCACAGAATAAGCGCCCTGAATTAACAGCTCCATATAACGCTGATTTAATCTCTAATCGTGGAATCCTTGTTCGAATCCCCCCTGTGCCTGATTGACGGAAAAGCTACTTCGATGTCTGTCGCACATCCAACAGCAGTGCCGCTTTGTCATCCCTCTCAATTGACGGCTCATTAGTGGTTAGGTCGCTATGAGCGTCAAATTTCGGGGACGCGGGCCCTCCACCAGCAGATCTGCGCGATCTTCCCTGCTATCTCCTGTCAGCGTCATGGGCGCGACCAAGCTGGGAGCCACGGATGGTGGATGGGCAGAGTCATCTTGGCCACGTGTATTTAGCACTCTGCAACAACAACCAGCCGTTGCTCAGGCCCGACAACCCGACAAAGTGGGAGCGTCCCACAGCCGCCGGTGTGGGAGGCCTTCCCCCACCTGCCGTAACGTTCCCAACACGCTGCGACCCCAGACTTTCTTCTTTTTTCTCTCGCTAGCGCTGCGGCCGCGCAACACCTGCATTGCAAGGCGCCTATATCCCCGCCTACCCCATATTACAACGACCCTTCTCCGGCTCGCCCGACCACCATGGGTCTAGAGCATGTAACGTAGCTTGTAAGCGCGTCCCGCCATTCAGGCATTCATCAGTCCACTAAGCCTCTTGGGGAAATTCGTCATCCGGCAGCCCAGAGTCCTTTCTTCCCCTTCGTCGCCACGGCGCCGGCATCTCGCCGAATCGCTTCACTCGTTGGCGCCGGTTGTGATGGAGCGAAGCGAATCAAGCGGTTTACAGGCCTCCTTAGACGACTATGTATGAGAATTTTCTGTCGAGGACATGTTCTGACCGACATGCACCAATGAATTTCCGGCAGCGCTCCGCTATGACCATGACCGATATCTTGCCGCTCATTTCCACTCCTATCTAGCCCTTTAAGGCCGTATGAACTGGCGACATTGTGTTGCTTTTCTATACCCCGGCTTGTATGCTCGCAATTTACCGCTGAGGTCGCACGGTACACTGGTCCATGCGTGGCATACACTTCCAGGGATGCCCAGGATAGTTTGCCAACCTTTCGCTCTTGGCACGAAAAAACCTCTCTATCCGATTAAGGCCTATCCAGATGTGATCTCAGTGGAGGGGCTATATTAGAGACCTAAGCTACAATCTTGCTTAATGATACTTTTGTGCCCCGTACTTCCAATCTTGTCCGGGATAAGTCATTTAATGTCATTTAGTGTATATGCAAAACATGCAAGTTATCTTATTCATCAGCATAAGCTTTCCATGATCGAGATGGTCTCGGTTTTGAGGGGATGATAATAAATTAGATCAAATAATCCAAGCTTGCCGGCCATGGGATCCCATTATCCGTGAAATGGCTAATACTCCACTCCGTCTATCTTAGACTCGGACAGGACTTTAAAATAAATCTAATCAAAACTAATCCACTCCAGCTAGGAGGGCTATTCTCAACGCCTGTCAGTGGTGTCCCCAACGAACCTCTAGCTCTCACTGTAGAGTCTGCAGAGCCGAGATTGAGAAACAAAGTCCTCACTTCGACGAGGATTCCCAATCGCATTCGCTGTCTGTATTGTCTTCGTCTCTCAACACATTCCCCTATCACCATTATGATGAAGCTAACCACGATCAGATCAGATGGTAGGATAGAAGCCCTTCTCATCAATGACATTTGATCATGGAGGAAATGCCATCCGATGAGTTACTGGAGCGTACCCGGCACAGCAATGGTGGATTAGATCAAGTTGACCTTCATTGTTACAAGGAAGGGAGATATAGATGGATATGCCCATCTCTTATGTATCTGGTGACTAAACCTCGCCTGGCTGGGGCTGCAGATTTTTTGAGACTTTTCCCGCGCACGCAGTTTCCATTGCTACCACTTACATTTTTCTTGGGTAGAAAGTTCTGTGGAAAAGATGGCCGAATTTCACGTGTAAATACTTAGCTGAATGGGTACTCATCAAGGGCAATATATCAATGATCTTTCAAGAAACGTTAGAGGCACGGTTGTTACAAAGTAACCCCCTGGTAAACCAGTAATGGGGATCCCACCATCAAATTAGAGAAACCCCAATAAGAACGGAAAAGATAAGTTGTATTTAAATAGTCTGTCCTACATAGTTGGAAACTCAAGTAGGACATAAATGGATTATTATTATTAGAGGCACGGAGCACTGTACAAGGTATGGCCAGGGTTAGAGAGGAGCCCAATGTGCTAGATAGACTAAGACTCAAGTAGCTCAATAAATACATCTCTCTCTCCGCTTCGTGTATAGGCTAGAGGGGCAATGTAACTAGGCTACGCATAAGCTATTAGGCGGATCAGCCTAGATGACTTTTCGAATCACAACTTATACACCCCTAGATTACCATCATGTGCGCTACAAAACTTACTCCACTGCCAACGTCGAACGTGCTTAATCTTAATTTATCGGTACCGCAAGACTTGCCGCGATTATCAACACCAACCTTATCTTTGGATGCGAGTATTTTACCACACTCGATTTTTTTGGGCTCTCTCTATTTCAAAGGCTCGTGATAACATTTATACCACGCTCATTCTACATTGGTTAGCATCAACAATTATCTGCGGGCAATTACGAGTAAGGAGTGGGCCATCTAACTAGATCTAGCGTTCGACAGCCAAA